GAGAGAGAGAGAGAGAGAGAGAGAAAGAAAGAGAGAGAGAGAAAGAAAGAGAGAGAGAGAGATCAGACGAGAGAGAGAGAGAGAGAGATCAGACGAGAGAGAGAGAGAGAGAGATCAGACGAGAGAGAGAGAGAGATCAGACGAGAGAGAGAGAGAGAGAGAGAGAGAGAGAGATCAGACGAGCGAGGATCGTCGCTTCGTTCAGAATCCCGAAGACTGGCACGCACGGCGCGGCGTGGCGCGGCGCGGCGGAATTGGTGAATGGGCAGCAATTTGTGGATCCGGTGGGGCAATTTCGGGGCCCGCTGGCCCACGAGAGTACGAAACCCCTGTCCCCGGGCCCCACACCCACCGGGGCCGTGTTCGCGATGGGCCCGGGTAATATCTCGTTTAGACAGATTACAGGTTCGTGAACAGGCTGCCAATGTATAAAACAAACATCGTTAAGCAAGCCCTATACTTAGCCCTCCTCCTCGGGCCTGGTCCGGGCCGGGTATTATGCGAGCTCCGGAGGATTCCAGGCCGAGTCCTGGACCCTCCGGGTTCGATGCGTGCCGCTCCTGGCCACTGGTAGGTCAGGAACCCACCACCGGAAGGGGGGGCACACCTCGCGCAAGGCCCACCGTTCTGTATTGAGACGTAGAGACCACCGGACGCAGATTGGGCCAGCCACAATTTCCGCGCGTGTAATTATCCGTGATCGTCGTCTGCACCCCTCTCTGGGACAGCCTTAACTCGACTGCTTATTATTTATCGATGGAGATTGATTTAGAGCGGGCCACGGCCCCCTGCTCATTTTCGACGGTTGCCACCCGATGTTTTTGCAACGGCGCGGACCCCGCTCTCTCTCTCTCTCTCTCTCTCTCTCTCTTTTCTTCCTCTGCGCGGGACTCTACCATCTTCCTGGCTTTAATCTCGAACTCCTGCGATCGTCACACCGCTGCCATCTTCTTCGACTCGTCGAACCGTTTAGAGCAGAGATTGAAGATGCTCCGAAAATAGCGGCGCTGCGGCCGGTTACCGCGGTGTGACCGAATACTGTGCCTTTGGTCCTTTTTTCGGGCACTATTAACCGAGTGCGATATGCGTCAGACTCGAGGCCAACATTTCGGGCGCGATCTACTGAGTATGTGTCCCTAAGTTATCCGGTGGATGTACAAACATTATCTTCTGTAGTGTTTTTTTTAATTATACATATAGATAACGTTGTTTTGCAACTCTTGCCTGGAGGTATATATACAAATACATATAAGTACTATGCATATGTATATATGTATAAATGTACTATGTACACATATATGTATAAATGTGCTATGTATATATCTACATATATGAACTACGTGTATATGTACATATGCATGTATGTACTATGTATTCAAGTATACATACATCTGAACTACGCATATACGTATATACGTATATATGTACTATATATATGTATTTACTACAAATATATGTACATATGTACTACGTGTACACACACGTTCCTTGATTTCGTGAATTATCCGAGCGTCAATTAGACAGAACGAACGCGCGCACGCAACGTATTTCCGAATTAAATCACTCTCTCCATTACACAGAGATACCGCCTAACGTGCATTCTGCTCGTTCAATTAGTAAATAACAATGAAATAATAATACCGTGCTCTACACGCTCGTCGGCGAATCACCTGTCCGCTCGATCGAACCCACCACGTCATATTGTCGCTAATGGCCGGACGCCGGCCGTTTCGTAGGAATCGCTCCGGAAAAGTCCGGTGAATTATTAATCGGGGAACGAGAGAGAGCGTCACAAAAAGCGGAAAGGTGCCCGCTGCGCTAAATCTGCGTCGGGTATAGACTTTCCCGGCGCGGCGCGGCTAGGCTCTAGCCACGATCCCGTGGTACGTACGGCCGCGCGTAACTTTTTACACTCAGCTGGACGTGTCGCATATGAAATATGTAAACATTCATGCTCACCCTTTCGCTCGGCACGTAATCAATCGCGGCGTGCCCCGCCGCTACAGTGTCACGGCGACGACAGCGCCGTTTTCCCCGTCGAATCGTGCCCCGGCCGTTCGTTTCGTTACCCTCTCGAACGAACTACCACCCCCGCGAACTTCTTTCCGTCTTCTTTCGCGTCTCGCTTTCTTTCTGTCTCTCTCTCTTTCGCGCGCGCGCCCTTCGCTCTACACACGAGATAGAGAAACGCGCGATCCGAGAACGTTTTTTGCAACTTTCAGCACCGGAGAGGCCGCCTCGGCGACCATAGAACCGTTGAATTTTTTAGGGGTCGCGCGGAGACACCGTGCCCCGATCCGTACTCTGAACTCCGCTGAACTCGAAGATCCGTTCGGAATCGTCGCGACGGCGCGGATTGGTGCGCACGGTGCTGCCATGTCTGTAGCTTCTTTGTAGGGAGGCTCGTGATAATCCGCGGGGATCTGGCTGCGATTTCCGTCGAACCGAAATCGACGGCTCGCGAGCATGCTCGGAACCGGGGACCGACGCGGCGCGGCGCGCCGCGATTTCCTGCGGTTTCGCGGGCCCCGCTCGACTTCTCGTGTTTCGCCGTAGCCCGTCATTTTTCTCACGGCTCTTGCCTTACGCCGTCGCCTCCTATCGCGGGACAACGCTTCTCCTCTCGCGATTGATGCCTAGCCGCGGACCCCGAAAACGCTCGAGCCGAACGCACGCGACCTTTCGCCGGCCCTTCGGAGACCTCGCGCGAGCAACTCGGTGAGAACGTAACGCGATATTGATTTATATAGTTATATTTGTGTTTATGTTTGTCGAGAAAAATTCGTCGAGAAAAATTTGTCGACAAAAATTGGTTAAGAAGAACTCGTTAAGAAGAATTCGTCAAGAAAAATTAATTAAGAAGAACTCGTCAAGAAGAATTCATCAAGAAAAATTGATTAAGAAGAACTCGTCAAGAAAAATTGATTAAGAAGAACTCGTCAAGAAGAATCCATCAAGAAAAATTAATTAAGAAGAATTCGTCAAGAAAAATTCATCAAGAAGAATTCGTCAAGAAAAATTCGTCAAGAACAATTCGTCAAAAAAAAATTCGTCAAGAAAAGTTGGTTAAGAAAAATTCGCCAAGAAAAGTTGATTAAGAAGAATTCGTCAAGAAGAATTCGTCAAGAAAAATTCGTCAAGATCAATTCGTCAAGTCAAATTCGTCAAGAACAATTCGTCAAGCCAAATTCCTCAAATCTTCTTATAATTCTGCATTCATCCTACCCTAATTTTTCCCCTAAATGCATAAAACCCGTGGTCTAGCAAGTTCTCCGAAGTAAATTCGGACGCGACGAACGCAGAATCGAGAACACAATTTGACTGTGGGACTTACCGGCCGCTTTTCGTGATCACCATCTCCGTGCCGAGTTTGTGGAACTTCTCCCATAGTTCCTTGCCTTCGAGGGTAACTTTCGGATCGTCGACAACACCGTCGTCTTCCGGTGGTGGCATCAGGGCAGGGTGAGGCCCGGCGAGGGGATGATGGGGCGCCAGTGGGTGCGGCGACGCATGTAGCATCCCCGGAGGTAGATGGGGCCTGAGGGGCCTCATCGTAGGCCCGCCGGGTCCACCCTGATGGTGGTGGTGCAATGCTGCCGCTGCGGCCGCCAGCACAGCTGCTTCTTCGGGCGTGTGCGGGCCAAGGCCTAGGCCTGAAACAGTCGTCGATATTTAGATTATTCTTATTAAAATCGTTGAAGCTACATTATTTATTTTTACTAATGGAATCGATTTGTTCGTTGCAGAAATCGAAATGCAACGTCTCTTATTTGTACATATAATTTTGATATATACATTAAAATAAATAAATAGTAATAATTTCATAAATGAAATGAATAAAATTTTTATACATAAAATAATATATATATTAAAATTATGATATAATATTAAAAATTATAATTAAAATTAAATTAAAATTTTAGATTAAAATCATAATATAATATTAAGATTGTTATTATATATTTGTACATAAAAAATACAATTTCACAACAGTATAACAATTCCTATTTGAATTCAACTTTTATTGTAATAAAATATTATATATAAAATATACTGTAATAAAATATTTATATTCCAGTGTGTGTGTGTACAATATTTTGATTGTATCTCTTTTGTTCGTTCTTTTTGATATGCTAATTGGACAACGCATCGTCGTATTGTCGTATCGATTGAACAAATACTATTACTATTATTATCATCGTTATTACTATGAAAATCTCGACGCACCTAATTATCGATAGTTGTCGCGTTGACCAGTTCCGGCAGAACGAGCAATTTCCCGAATAAAATCGCGAAGGTTCCGCGGGAGTGTGTTATCGCGGCGAGGTGTTGAACGATTTAATATGATTAAACGATAAACTCTGTTGAGCCCGGCGCATCGCGGCGGTTCTCGAATTGGTAATATTCGATTACAATTGCCGCGCTCCTTAATTAAAATATTATTAATCATTCGTTTCAGCGGATTTATACCGGCATCGCTCGAAAACAATCCCGGGCATTGTATCAATTTTCACCGGTGCGCCCGATATATTACCGGCTCGTCGCGAACCGCACGACAATCATCGTTGAAAGACGGTTGATTAATCTCATTTGCAAATGAACCGCGGCGCAACGCGAGCCAACAATTTTCCGTCCACGCTCCGTACAGGCCAGTTTTTCGCGGGGAACGCGGATCTTGGGCGTTCCAAGCGTGATCAATCGAATCGATCGATCCCGAGAGAACAATTGGTTAGCATAGATTGCTTCGTTGACCCTCGGGGGACGTCAGACGCTATTTTTATGGTGCTGCGTCTATGCGATCCGGGAATTCGATCGCGACTTTCCGCGATCGCTGGGTAGAGTTCGGCGAAATTTTGATCGGGTGACGGATTGCGACCGAAGAATAACATTTTGTTCGTTTAAGAATTCGTACCAATGACATTTCATACGAATAATTCTATAATAGAATAATTCTTTAGTCGAATCATTCTTTAATCGAATAATTCTTTATTCGAATAATTCTGTATTTGAATAATTCTTTATTAGAAAAATTCTTTATTCGAATAATTTTGTATTTGAATAGTTCTTTATTCGAATAATTCTTTAATCGAATATTTCTGTATTCGAATAATTCTGTATTCGAATAATTCTTTATTCGAATAATTCTGTATTCGAATAGTTCTTTATTTGAATAATTCTGTATTCGAATAATTCTGTATTCGAATAATTCTGTATTCGAATAGTTCTTTATTCGAATAATTCTGTATTCGAATAATTCTGTATTCGAATAATTCTTTATTCGAATAATTCTTTATTCGAATAGTTCTTTATTCGAATAATTCTTTAATCGAATATTTCTGTATTCGAATAATTCTTTATTCGAATAATTCTGTATTCGAATGATTCTTTACTCGAACAATCTACTATTATAA